AACAAACTTAGTGCAATTTCTTTTTATACTCAGATTCATCTTAGTTTCAAGCCCTTTAGTTTAGTTTTAGCTCAACACTTCTACCTAAATTAGTTTTCAACTTTAATTTAATAACTTTTCCTTTAAAATCCCAAAAATTAATTACAGTTATATGAGGAAGCAATTTAGTTCCCATTTGTTGGTTTAGTAATGGTAAGATTCATTGCCTTCATTGATATTTCTTTATAATTGAATTGCTTTCTTTCCTTTATTGTCTTTCTAGTTTCTTTTAATTTAAGTAAGTAATGACGATATTTAATTTCATGTTTTGTTCATTTTTGTTAATTTACATTTCATGCTACTAGTGGATTTTCTATGCTTCCAATTTCATTTACTTTAATTTAATTTATTTTTTTGCATTTAGATTTCCTGTTTAGAGTTCTATTTCAACTCTAGTTTGCATGTTTAAGATTCATTTAGGTTTTGGGTAGTTTGGCAATCATTTCCTTCTCTTGTAGTCTTAGCTTTTCTCAATTACATTAATTTGAAGAAGTACTTGGAATCATATTTAAGGCATTTTGTGGTTTATCCCATTTATTGTAGGAAGTTCATCCCTCATTCCTACTCATCATTTGATAATTAAGGTATAATTTACGATATTCTTTCATCAACTCACAATGGCTTAATTCAATTTTTAGTCTATTAACTATCATCTTAATTTCGTTTTAATCTAGAAATTATGTTTTATTTCTAAGTGGTCTATTAACTTTCAGATTCATTTCAATTTTGTCTACTTGGTCAAAGATAACGGAAAACCTCCTATTCTGTTAGAGAATAGTTAGTCCTCAAACTATGTTTTATCTTTTAGTCCTCAAATTTATATTTATTATAAAAATAACTTTTATACTTAAAATTATTATTTTTAGGCTCTGATATCAGATTTTTATACTTAAAATTATTATTTCTAAGTGGTCTATTAACTTTCAGGCTTTGAATTGATACCAAGTTAAAGAAATAGGAAAACACGTATAAAAATCTAGTATCAGAGCCTATAAATAATAATTTTAAGTAAAAAAGTTATTTTTATAACAAATATAAATTTAAGGATTAAAAGATTAAAAAAATATAGTCAAAGGACTAATTGTTCTCTAACATAATAGGAAGTTTTCCGTTATCTTTGACAAAGTAGACGAAATTGAAATGAATCTGAAAGTTAATAGACCACTTAGAAATAAAATATGATTTTTAGATTAAAATAAAATCAAAGTGATAGTTAATAGACTAAAAATTAAATTAAGCCGTATAAACATCTTGTAAAGATATTTGATGATGATGGCCTTGTATTAATCGTTTCTAATGAGTTAATTGATGATATGTTATAACTACTGATTTATTATGTCTATTTAGAT